CCCCAAAAAAAAAAAAAAAAAAAAAAGATTAGAAAAAGTGAAACTATCTTTATTCAGAGATTACATTATCATCAACCTAAAAATCTCACAAAATCTACCAAAAGCTGAGTTTGAACAATGCTACAGAAAATACATACACAAAAATCAACTACGTATTTATATATTTATAAAGAACAATTAGGCAGGGAAGATTAATAGTGAGGTGGAAATACTCAAAGCATAAACCATTATTTTGTATGACTAATAGGTATTAATAAAAAAAACATTTTCAGTAGCATCATAAAATGATGTGCTAGAAACAAAATTTAACAAAATATGAATATCTGCACTGGAAATGATAAAACATTGCTGTAAGGAAGACCTAAATAGAGATATAAGTCACACCTGTGCATAGAATATTCAATATCATTATGAACTGATCTACAGATGCAATAAAATCAAAACCCCAACATACTTTTGTTTTTTTAATTAGAAAATTATAAGCTAATTTAATGAAAATTAATTTAAAATAATCAAAATAATATTTGAAAAAGAGAGCGAATGAATATCACTTGATTTCAAATCTTCTTATGTTAAATGTTATTAATATTGGCATAAAGACAGACAAATCAATCCATAGAACAGAAAGTAGAGCCCAGAAATAACCTATACAAATATACTAGACTGATTTTAGACAAAGTGCAAAAGTAGTCCAGTGGATCACAGTTTTCCCAACGATGGGTGCCAGATCAACTGGATATTCACATTTTTTTAAAAAAGGAACACCGATCCATGCCTTGCACCATATTCAAAACACATCTTACATGTAAAATCTAACACAATAAAACTTAACAGAAATCATAATCAGTCAAAGATATTTTAAATAGAACACTAGAAGTATGATCCATGAAAGAAAAAACTGGAAATTTGGATTTCATCAAAATTAAATTTTTTTACTCTTCAAAAGACAGTGTCAGGGCCAGGCTGTAGCTTGGCGGCACTGCACCTGCCTAGCAAGCAAAGGTCCTGAGTTCGATTCCCAGTACTGAGAACAAAAAATCTCAAACAAGGACAATGTTAGCACAATGAAAACCGAAGTCACAGAAAATAAACAGGTGAAAAGATCTTCAACTGCTTGAATCAGCATATAAATCTAATTAAAATGGTAACAAGAGTTCTCTACAAAATGCTGAAGAGGAGAACTCCATGCACTGCTGTGTAACGGCATGACCGCTCTGGAAATCAGTTTGGCAGAGTCTGATAAAAACAAAAACGCAACTATGCAGATGATCCAGCCTTTCCACTCTGGGAATTCACTCAAGAGAAACAAAAATATAAGCCTATCTAAATTCTTGTATGTGAAAACTCACAGAACCTTAACTTGCAATAGCCAGTAATAAATGACCTTTAATAGATGGATCAATAAACAAGCTGAAGTATATCTATGTATCAGAATATTACTAAACTAGAAGAAAGCATGAATACTGATACATATGGCTCAAAAAGTAGTTATGCTGCATAGAGGAAGACAGCCACACAAAACATAGTATCTACTGTAAGATTTCATGTATGTATAATTCTAAAAACTTTGAATCTATAGTGATTAAAAAATACTTATGTTTTCTAGCAGCGAAAAGGAAAGGACAAAGGAAGATTTAAAGAGGACCTGAAGAAACTCTTCTGGTGAAGACATCCACAATGTTGTTTGCAAAGCTATTTTCCCAATATATACCTATATCCAAACATAGGAAAGGTCACCAAGGGCAGCACAAGATTTTCTCTATCTCCAAATGTGAGGCAGTGAAAAGTAGAGGGGTGACAACTGAAAGCACAAAAAACAGCTGAAGCAAAAGCAGAGCCACGACCATCAGCCAGCTCGTAGGATGAAGACCCTAAGGAGCTGAGCACAGCCCTGCTCGCCGGAGGGCAGTTAGAGAAAGTCTTTAGTAAGAGAGCACATGTCACTGCAGAGTCTACTTAGAAGGGTCTGAGGCAGATGCGAGAAGAGCTGGAAGAGTTTTCCTCACAGTGCAAAAGCTGCTTGGCTGGCAGCAGGTTCTCGACCACTGTGTTGATTTTCAGAAAACACGCAGCTGGCAAATGGCTGGCCACCTGGGCCACCATCACGTTGGGGTAAAGGCTGCTGTGTTGCCATGGATTTTCTACCCCTAGCCCAAAGCCAGGAAACCACGGATGAGGTTAACGTTAACAAAGCATGAAATGCCAGGATGCAGCTCAGTGGTGTCACCGCTTCCTGCCCCACAAGTACAAGGTCCCGAGTAAAAGCATGAAGTTGTAAGAAGTAGGTGCTGCCCGCTACCGACAACTAAGATGGCAAGCTTGAAAAGAGCGATGAGATTGAATGACAGACACCCTAAGTACCTGATGAGGAAATGAATACACATATTACAGTAGATCGATGGAAGAGAGAAGAGGCATGGCTAAACAGATGGACCTCGAGACCATACTCTTCAGTGAAATAAACCAGACTCACATGTTTAAATACCACACCATCTCTCTGGTGTGAGAAACCAAAAGTGGAAATTAGAACTGGGATGTATAATGGATGTTGGGAAATGTGAAGAAAGTGTTCAAATGGGAAGGGGAACAAGGGAGGGAGGGAAAAAGGAAGGAAGGAATGTGAAAACAGAAGGAAAAAATGGAAACAAAGCTTTTGTTCACAGGGAGGATAGGAGGGTATACAATACAATAAATTTAAAAAAATATATATCACCTTGTTTAATCCTGTAAAGCCCCTTAGTAGGGACTATCCAATTTTAAAGTTTGAAAAGAGAGACATGTCTATTTTGTTTGGAGTAAAGACTGGTTGAACACATTAGGAGAAAAAGAGAACACTTTTTCAGGGGAAATACCAAAGGTAGCATACAACTTTCACTTTGAAGAGTTCCTACAATAATAATTTTCTATTAGGAAACACTTTAAATTGAAAGACATATTTTAATTTCACTGTGATCTACACTCAAAGCTGGCAGAGGATACGGGCAGTGAGACAGGGTTGCACAGACCAAACCACTTTCTCCAATCCACCCACTCAAATCACCTCTGCATAAGTCTCTGACTTCCTAGCCTGAACAGACTCCTGGCCCTGCTAACTGTCTGTAACACACACTATTTCTTCTCTGCACTGGTCACTCTTTGAAGATGACCTGCATTATTGATTTCTATGCTCATAATCTCCATCTCTCCAAACTCGATGCCCCAGAAGCACCACTGGTAAAAATCCCCTCTCTGGGAGCCTCATGGGAACCCAGGACTGCTGTGCCCACGCCCTGGCACCAAGAGGGGTGCAGAGGCCCCAGCCATATAAAAAGGTGCCCCCTGAGGATCTGCTGCTGCATTCGTGGCCAATCCTGGAAACTCACGTCTTTCCGGGTCTTGTGTTCGGCAGCCTGAATCCTCTGATCCATTTCCTCTTCCCACTCACTCAGCTGCATAGCTGCCTTGTCCTGGGCTCTGAAATTTGAAAGAAAGCACACCTTTTCGTCACGTACCTGGACTAGAAACAGGAAGAGAAACTTCCTCTAAACCCTGTATCTCTTACAAATAAGAAGAAACACACCACTGTATATATTTCTCATAACCTTCATGTAATAAGATTGGAAATTCAACCATTTGGGTATAAAATAACAGGAAAAAGAGCTGTTATAAATGAAACAGAGTGAGTGATTGTAAATTAGACTGTGGCAAGGAATAGTTAAAATTACCAAATCACTTAGGACATTCAAATCCCTGGGAGATTCTCAAATTCTGAAACTCTTATTTGCTACCAAAACGAAGTTACAAATCTAGACTGCAGATAACTCTGCCAAAAAAAAATGGTTAAATGTAATTGAAAGATTCTATTCAGTGAAATTCAATACTACATGGTAAAGTAAGAAGAGAAAAAAAGAGATTTCAGTAATTATTTCTAATCTGTTCCCCCAAAGTTCTATCATGTAGTTAATTTTAGAAAATGTTTGTTTCTTTGGTTAATATAATTAATCAATCACAGCTCTAAGGAAGGAGGGGAGGGAGAACAGGAGCAGACAGGAAGGGGAAAGAGAGTTAAGATGTGTTATGTATACACACCAACCCCCACAGTGAACACAGTCATTATGCATTGCAAACATGTGCTAATAAAGAAATAGAAGTATAAGAAGAACCTGGAAAATGAAAAAAAATAGAAATAGAAAAATTGGTGAAAGACATTTCAGGGTTATTTTATTTTACTAGCAACTGTCTATGAAATTGTCATCATGAAGTGCCAGATGGCCCAAGACAGAGAAGATACACTTTTCCTTTGTTCTCTATGAACTTCATGTCCACGTATTTAACATGTTACATGCACAGGACTTGCCTGTCAACTCTACTATAAGTGACCTGAGAGCAACCACCACAAGGTTCAGAGTCAACCCCCTGGACCAATAACAAAACACTGTTAATACAAGTAGATGACAGGCCTCAAATACTGGGCCTCCCATCTTCTCTGCTGTGCGCCATCCTATCTGTCTTCACCCTTACTCTTTTTTTTTCTTTTATTTTTTTTTCAGCTTTAATTGAGTTTATTGGTACATTTTAGGTGTACAGTACAGTTACATTCATTGTTGGGATCTTGTACCTCTACATGACAAATCTTGATTCTCATTTTTTCCCCTTACCTCTGCCCTCCCTTCACCCTCTCCTCCCCTCCCCATCTACAAACACTTTATTTTCATCTTTTCATTCTCTCACATTTTTTTCTTTTCCCTTTTTACTCTTCCCCTACCCAAACCACCTTCCCTACACCTTTAGCTCCTTTCTTCCCATTTCTAAATGTCAGTAATCTTATTAGAATCTTATGCATTGTTGCAGATTATTTACACCAGGGAAACTATTCGGTATTTACACATGTGTGACAGCACAATTTGTATATATGAGTTTATCTGCTACATAAAACTTCAAATAGGGCCGGGGATTTAGCTCAGTGGTTCAGCCGCCTGCCTTGCAAGCTCAAGGACCTAAATTCAATCCCTGGCACAAAACAAAACAAAACTTCAAATAAATAATGTGAAGGGGAAGACTTCAAAGTAAAATTTTGACTACCATCCACTATTTTCTGCTCCTGTTTACTTCCTACTTAATACCAAGGTGTCATGTCAACCGATTTTGGTAAGTTAGCTAGTTTCTGTTTATAAATACCTGCTATTTGAGTCTAGATCTTATGGATCTACAAAGCAACAATTTTGAGTTAAATCTGATGCTATAAATAGAATGGTTTCTTTGTTCATTATGATCATTCTTCCCTATTATTCTTTTACATATCCAGTTCCAAACAACTGGGATTGACCCTGAATGCTTTCTGTCCTTCTCACTTCTGAGCAACACCGTGTGTGTGTGTGTGTGTGTGTGTGTGTAAATCACTAACAAAATGTTTATCTATAAATTGCTAATTCCTAGCAAAACATCTAGTGTGCTATGGCTGTCTACCATCACCCAGTCCAGGGCTCTTTCCAGGACACCAGGAACCCAGTTTATACGTCAAGTGCAGTGTGAAAAGTCTGATACTCTCCCTTAGGCTAAAGCAAGTTGGCAGGAGTGGTCCTTGTCTAGTAATCTAAGCTATGGCCCACTGTGAGAACTACAAAAAGTATTTAAACTTCAGTTTAAGACTTGGATAGTGAAAGAGAGCCCCTTAGGTGACTCCAGGCTCAGGAGAGACAGGCTGGCTGAGTCCCCCAAGAGAGCACAGCAAGGGAGATGGAAAGAGACACCAACACAGAGCAACACAAAATGATAGATTCACTCCACTATAAACTAGTAGCCTGGCTGGCAATAAGAGCATAAAGAAAACGATTCTTTTTTTTTTCTTCCCTTGTAGGTTTAGTAGCACAGACAATTCTTACAAGCCATAGTGGCTTACATAGGACATCTTATTGCTGTTAACAACCACTTAGGGCAAAAGAAGAATTTAGATGTGCTGCAATGTGGGGTATAAGAGTGAAAGAGACAGAGAGACCCAGAGATAGATGTCTTTGTGAACAGGATCTGTACCTGTTCACCTGTGCGTGTGCTTATGCTCATCTGTTTACAAACAGACACTCAGTGAACACTTTGAAGAATCAGTATGTGTGCTTGCTTGTCATGCTTCAAAGGAGGCCAACTCTGTAGTCCACATCACAAAATTCCCTATAGAATTTGGAGTTCTAAGGGTCCTTAGAAGGCCCCTAGAAGGCAAACTTAAGGGCAACAGGCACTGAAAATGGCCATATGAAACCCCCTATAGATATTCAACCAAGAATGGTTCTATTTAGCATCCAAATTTTAAAACATTTTTCTCTTCTAATTTCTAAGTCCTTTCAATTACTCCAAGGGCTTAGTGACCTAATTTCAGTGTATGTTGACAGAAAGAATAAGGAGACAGAGAAATTACAGACAAGTGGGCTGGAGCTGTCACCTGCACCCAAGCAGGTAGGGAGCATCCTACCATAGGTCTGTGTTTTCAGGTTCTGGGTGAGACCTTCAGAGCACTGCTAGAGGACCACATGGACACAGGAAGCAACTGTGGGACAGAATGACCAGGGACGTGACAAACACATATGTCTATTTCTCAGCACGTACTAAAGAAGGGCTGTCCTTCTAGGGCTGATGCATGGCCAAGAACACATATCAATTCACTTTTGCACTAAATGGCTACTGAGAGCATTAAGATGGTCTATGTAACATATGCATTACATAAAGGCTTGTATTACAGTAGGAGCTTAAGCAATGTTTTGGTTTTCAGTTTAGGGAGCAGAGCTGGGTGAAGAGGACCAGCGAGAGGAAAGGCAGATTGCTGAGCACACACCACGTGGAAGGTACAAGGTGAGAGGCTCTACCCATGGTGTCATCTTCTGAGTCCCCATACCCCAAGGATGTGAACACTTTAGTCTCATTTTGCAGGTGCAGGAAATGAAACTCTGGGAGATTAGGTAACCTGTCTTCCAGGTTTCATACTCATAAGTTACAAGGCCAGGCTTCAAATGGAGTCCTACCAATTTCTCTGGAAGCTTCTTATGTGCTCTAAGAAGTTGGGTGTAAGATCAATCTCTGACTCATTCTGTATACAATCGCTGTTCCTGAAGAGTGGATATAAAAGGAATACATTGATCCACTCATATACTTGTAAATCAGAGCCTAACTCAATGTGTGCGGGCTTAGTTTAAAGTCAGGAAGTCCACCCATATCATTATGCATTAATGCAGTGCAGTGCAGTCCATTTATCACCCAGGTCAGTTGAAGGACCCCGTGGGTCCCGCACAAAGAGAGGACTTCAATACCTCTTCACTGCAATGGCCAGGTTTTCCATCTCTGTGCTCTGAAGTTTGATCTCCCGGATAAAGTTCTCTATCACATGTTCATAGGGCTGGATTAGTCTTGGTTCCACGAGGTTGATGTTCTGATACAGGGTACTAACTTGCTCTTTTCTGCAAAAAAAAAAAAAAAAAATTAAATTAAATAACGAATGACAACGTAAAGAAGCAAAGTTGCAGAATACTCTTAGGAAAGTCGACCATAACCAAAGATCCAATGAGGAAACAAGAGCAATAGAATGATCTACAATGAAGGAATACATCAGTCAGAGAGTTTGACACATTCATTTCTCTGTATTAGCAGATCGTAGCACATGAGGGCAGTGGAAACGGAGGGTAAGAAACCCTAAGGGAAGGACACTTGCTGTTTACCACTGCTGTTTTGTGTTTCTGTTGTTTTTATTGTTGGCTGGGGGGTAAACTAAACGGTAAGTAAATTTACAGGAAAGTGGCTAATAATGAAGTGCTTGTTTCATCAATCCCTCAAAAGATGTTCAGTAAGAAAAAATGGATATAGCTATTATTTTATGGTAAGTTAAATATTACTTCATATAAATTTATATGTACTTGTGCTATTTTTATTCAGAATGCTTCTGATACCAAATGACTAGGATTTTTCCCCATACCAATTCTTTCATTTTCCAGACACTGAGCGCCCAACAAATTGGTTTACTTCTCACACTACGTGGAGATGCACAGGTCCACAGGCTCAGACACACCAGACGCCCCACCTTTCATGTGCCAGTCACACAGGTCCCCATCACATCATGGACTCCTCTTACAGCTTACATCAGGGGTTAATTACACAATTAGATCCTATGATGGTTGACAGACTGTGTCAATTTGAGAAGTTTGGTTAAGAGAAGCTTAAATGAATCCGCTCAGATATCCACACCCTAAGGTGCAAAAAAATCCACTCTAGGGTGGCGCATCCCCTAGATGTTATAAAGGAGAAATGAGGAAGGGCACTGCTGCTTCTTCTGCTTTTCTGGAGGAGCCGCAGTCTTTGCCCATCTTCTGGCACAGACTCTTCAGCTTTCGGCATGGATCCTTCAGCCTTCTATAGCAGACCCCTGGCCTCCTGGTGTGGCACTGGACACTGCAGTGAGCTCCAGACCATCAGCTAAACCCTTTGGTCACCACCGGGCAGACAGATGCCCTGGGCTTTTCGTCATCTGACTCTGGGTGTCCACTGTGAGCCAATCTTGTAAATGCATACATATTTATATATCTTGTACTACATTTGTTTCTCTAGTAAATACTGACACAGAACATCCTTCTTCTGACCCTAGAGGAGAGCCGCACTTGCTGATATTTAACACAAGCCAGGAATGTGATGTGACAGTACTTTCTTTTTTTTTTTTTTGGTACCGGGGATTGAACTCGGGTCCTTGCGCTTGCATGGCAGGCCACCGAACCGCTGAGCTAAATCCCTGGCCCTTGACAGTACTTTTTAAAGGAAGAGAATATTTATAATAGTTGAAAGAAGAAATGGCATGAGTTCCAAAAACAGGCAACTTCTAGGGCCTGAAGTGATAACTTACTGTTGTGCCAGCATGAAAGAACTCCATGGATAACTAATCACAGGAACACCAGATACTTTCAAACATCAAATCACTTAAATATCACCACTAGTAGTTAGATAATTCTTTTGCTCACTGACCTGCTGCTATGAATTTAATAGTTACATCCTTAATACTACAAAAAGCCTGTGTCTCCTGCCCCAGACACGGAGAGATTGGTTTTCAAGTGTGTGCCTCATTCTGGTAAAGCCACTGGACAAGCCACTACAGGATCGAGGACATCTGAGCCCACTGTATAGCAGTCATGCGTGAAAGCCACTCAGGACGACTTAGCACTCCCAAACACAGAAAACTCCCATCCATTCCTTCCACCCTCCCTGGGCAGTCAGCTTGTAACTCTGTTGATACCAGCCTGCTCAGAGGCTCTGGGGGCATGAGAAAGACTAAGATAATTGCAGGCCTCGGTCACAAAATGGAATAGATAACAAAGACATAAGATTTATGACTGTAGTTCTCTTTAGTGAGTGCTCACCGGATTCCAGGTATTATGCAAAGGAATCATACGCACTGTCTCTCTGAATACTCACAACAACACCATGAAACATTTTATAACCCATTTTGAAAATCAGGCTGGGCAAAGGGCCTGAGCCAACGTGGGTCCTCAGTCTCCCAAATTCGTATGCTGAAGTTTTTAACACTCAGGCCCTTAGAATGTAACTATTTGGAGACAGCGTCCTTAAAAGGAAAAATCAAGTTAAAATGAGGCAACTGAGGTAAATTCTGATGCATTCTCACTGGTGACCTTACAAACAGGCATTTTGGGTGCAGACATGCATGGGGTGGAAGACCACTTAAACCCCTGGGAAGACGACCATCTACAAGAGAGAGAAAAGCCTCAGAAGGAGCTCTTCCTCCTGGCAACTTCATCTCAGACTTGCAGCCCCTGGAATCATGAGAATATACGTTTCTACTGTGCAAGCCACCCATTCTTTGGTGTCTGTTACCGCGAATGCCCAGGCAGCCCAAGACCCAGTAGAAACTAAGTGGCAGATCCCATATCCAGCTCAGCCTCTTGCTCCTCTGATCTAGCTCCTGTGACAAGTCAGAACACCTCCCTATTTCCCAAAATAAACCGTTCAATCTGTGTATGGGCCAATTACGATTCAAAACAACTGTTTATGTCAAATATTATCAATAGGTCACCTCATCTAGTGATTCTAGACAGAAAGCTGCCATCATCCTTCCCGTAGACCTGAGGATAAATAACTGGTCCCAAGAATGACTCACACTTCTTAACAGAAAAGAAAACCCTCCTCTCTAAGACTGTCCCAAGTAATTTCAATGTACCATGGGATCATTCTTTGCCTTTGTCATTTACTGATGACCAACAGGATGCAAAGCCTATGATCTTGACAGGAACCTGTAAGAGACAGCTGCTAAGAAACTGTCCCTGAGAGTCCTTGTCATGTTTGCTGCACAATATCCAGAGGCAGACATCTCAGTAGATTCCCTCACTTTCTGCAATTTATAAAATGAGAACAAAACATTAAGAACTTGTAAATTTTCTTGGGTCACCTGCTGGTCCTGGCCTTAACAGACAATTTCAGGAATAGTTTACAGTGAATTCTTTAAATAACTTAAGACAATGTTAGTTAACCGCTGTGCCAGAACTATCAGTATACTCATCTGTACCGATTCTCTCTGCAGGGAACTCGTGAAGATTTGCTTTCCCAAGTCTCTAGTGGGTCAGTGGCGACCCTGTGGCCACTTCAGGGGAAATGGGGTGGGAGAGGAAATGACCCACGATTATCATTCCACTTCCTGCTTGGCCCCGAAAGTCCTCTGCAAAATCCTCAGGTCGTTGTGTCTGTCTCTGCCTGTCTCAGTCTCTCTTTCTTCTTCCACCCGTCCTCCTCCATTTCTTCTTCCTTCCCTCTCTCTGCCCCTTTTCCTTCTCCCTTCCTCATCCTCATCTCTATGTTTGAAATGAAGAACTCCAACATGGCAAAGCCACAAAAATACAATGCGCGTGGATCCCTGCATCCCCACATGGAGAGAAACCATATGGTCCTGCCTGACCACAGTCAATCTGTCCCAAGAGAAAGAAGTCTGCAATGCTCCGACCGAGACAGGTCGTGTTTTGTTGTATTCAGCTTACTTAGAAAGTTAGGTGATGGTTTCCTATTTGGGTGATGTCATTATCCCCCTCTGAAATGAAAACACTTCTTTGTCTCCTTACTTGATAGCTTCATGCTAACTAAGTAATAAAACTTTTATGACCAGAGTACGTCTTTACCATCACCACCCACTCTCTTTAAGAGGGAACAAAAGGTTATTGTGAAGCATTTATACACTGAAACTGACATTTATAGAACACCTCAAACATGCAGTGTAGGTACTGATATAAACATTCACATGTATCATTCATTCGCTGAAATAAGATTCCAACTCAGTCCACTGGGCTCTAGAGTCTGGCTCTCTACGAAGGGCCAGATCTCCATGCCCAAACTAAGGCTTGAATTGATTGTCAGGATCCACAGAAAATTTGATGTACTCAAAAATTCCTTTGGAGAAGGATATGCATCATCACTATACTGACTGTCCATGTTATAGAGACTCCTTAAAAGAACAAACACATAACTAAGATGGAGGCAACCGTATAATATCCAGCGTAGTCAATGCTTTTTAGGGAAGGCACTATGTACTTGGAGAGGCACACGCCCACTCTCCACCACACCCCTCCCCTCCTTCCTGTGTGCTTCATCAGATCTGTATTAGTCAAACTGGGCCCATAGAATCATGTGCAGACAGGGCAACATAATTCACAGGATGATTCTCACACATGTTGAATCAAACCAGAACAAAACAAAACCCCCAACCATTTTATCCTAACAAGACACAATACCTGGGCCCTCTGAGACAAAGACTACCAAAGTCCTTCATTCAGGACTGTTCTTTCATTAAAGTATAGTATAGTATAAGATCCCCCTAACCTAACCCCTCATTGTCCAAACAATCTTACTGACCTCAAAAACCAGGTGTAGAAGGTATAGTCAGGATGCCTTCACCAAAAAATGCCCAAGAATAAACTAGATGAAAAAAATAAAGCTGTTGAGATCACCACAGAGGTACAAAGACAAACTCCCAGGCCTTAACCTATGAACTCATTAAATTCATGATCTGTGATTTCTTCTGAGGCTGTCAGGAACTAAAAAGCTACTTTTGTTTAAAAAAATAGTGACTCTTCTCTTGGTCCTACAGATGAGTAACTGAAAGCAGGACAAACTTTGGCTTCTCTGTCTTCATGTTATATCTGCTTCCTTCATTACCTTAAAACTTTGGTTCTGACCCTTTCTTAGCTCTGCATGTGGGGCGTGTTAATCGTTTAAAGAGTAATTGTCTAAAAATTGGTAATAACAGGTTTACTAGCCCTCAATTTACCTAACTTTATCTCCTGCCCTTCAAGACTTAGGATACCATTCAAATTGTATAACTGATAATGTGACATAGGAAGAAAAGGGCTAAAGGAATAGGGAAAGTGGGAAGTGTACGGGAAAGAAGGGAAAAGAAAAAATGTAAGAACAGGAAAAA